ATTCCAACCCCCATGCCATGGACTGGGATACCTTTCACTAGACCAGGTTGCTCAGAGCTCCATCCAACCTGGCATTGAACATTTCCAGGGATGGCAATCTAATGAGAAGACATAATTACCAATGTCTCAAAATGCACCTACATGTTTTCAATTCTGTGCTTTATGCAGTTTTAGATCAAGAAAGGTTTTGTCAATAAATATTAATTTAGGAGACCCGACATCATTGTTTTAATTCCATTGGTTTGGTAAATTCCGAGTCCATAACAATTCACTTTTTTTTCTTTTAATAGAACCCCATAACCTTATATTTTTTCCATTTTTAAAAGTTTCCAGGCATCGATAGACACAGAGTTGTGAGTCCTTATAACAAGAGTTAGTTTAAGCACAGATAATTAATGTGTTGTTCTTTCACAATCTATTGCAATGAGAACCAGGAACACATTTTGGGTCAAACAGGAATATCATTAAAAAGGAACATAGTACACACAGATTTACAGCATTGTCTGAATTTTCTACTACCTGAGAGGAGTAATAATAGCGAGTTACCCTCTATGTTAGGGGAAAAACTGGTACAGGAGAAGAATATAGGATTCTCTAAATTATGTCAGAAAAATTCTAGTCCCTTGTTTCTGTTCCCTGGAAATTGCCTATTACCCACATACTTAAAATATACAGCTGAAATATTTTCTTCAGGACAACTTCTGTCACCAGCATACCAAAAAGACATCTTTATGTAAGGGTTTCTGCAATATGCCCTTTGCCCCTACAGACCAATAGTCTTTCCCTGGTAGCAGACAATCTCACGACAGATGCAGTAAGAGCTGAGTGAGATCTCTCTCTAATTTCTTATATAGCCCCTGTTACTATCACCTCAAAGGTTTTCCTCAGGTATGTCCAACATGAATTAATTCTGATATATCTATGAAAAATAAAAAATAAATTCATTACTTCTACGGTTTATGAACTTATGGAAATACAGCTTTTTGATTATCAGGCATTCTTTGGTGGCAATAACTTTGTAAATGCCCTGGTAAATGTGGCTTGCTGTGCCAAATACCATTACTTTCTGTAACAATATGTCATTCAATACATGTGATCCCCATTATAAAAGCCTTTTTATAGAAACACACACTTTTTTGTATCCTAACTGTAATCATTAAAGACTGACTAAAGCTGTGTTAAGCATCCCCAGAATATTTGAAGTGGTTTAACATGATTTTCTACAGAACATTGTTCTTTAAAAAATACCTGTTTTTAAACACCTGCATTTAATGGTTACTACAATTAGGGAAGGGGAAAAGGCAGCAGAAGAATTTTCCATCTTCACTGATGTGGAAATAAAGCACAAAAAGGACTTGATAAGCCACAAATAAAAGGCCCAATGAGGAAATCAGAAAAATGTCTCTGTATGTATCCAGTGTAGTGCTCATCTACTGCATTTATGAGATACCAAGAGACCTGATTTGACCTGTTATGCTCTGAAAGATGCACAATTTTTAGGCAGTAATCTTCATATCATCTGTGTCCTAGCCTACTTATGCTGCTTAGACTATCTATAGATGCCCTAGCTAATCATGAGATGCCTATTCCATTGTCAATCATATGCAACAGGTGAAGGTCTGTATGTCCATGCCTTCAGACCTGAGATGTGTGTACACACACACACACACACACACACACACACACACACACACACACTCTGTATTTTAAGATGGATGTCAGGTCTAACTGTTGTCCTTAAAAATGATGCAATAATTGCTTTGTGTTTTTGGAGGTTTTTTTTTACAATTTTAGCCAGAAGAGAGTATCTGACATCTTTTTAAGGTAAATCCCATATGAAACATTTTCCTTGTATCATTAAACAGTTTGTTAGAAAGTCAGTTGCCATTTTCCACTTATTTTATACTGAAATTAATTCCTTATTCCTTTAACATCCCAATCAAAATCCTGAATGACAGACAATTTATCAATTAAGTCTGACTTTAAAAGCATGACCTGAAAATCTTTCTATTCTAAGTAAAAATACAGGTAACTAAAGGATGTAAATTAAAACAGTATTCTAATACAAATTAATATTACTATATACACTCTTCATGTAACTGTTTACTTACCCTGTGTGACACAACCATTTTTGCCAAAAAAATTATGTGCCATCTTTAATAGCAAAAGGGAACTTTTGCTGGCAGCTGATTAATGCATTTTTTGGCTAGCGAAAATGTAACAAAAATCTGTAGTTTTGTGAAGCTAACCCATCAGTAGCAGATGGATGACATCTGAAGCACCAGCCAAATGTAAAGGAATTATAGCAGCAGTAGAGAGGGCTGAATTTTGCCTACTAAGATTACAGACTACTTACAGTTTATGTACTGACACAAATAGCAGTGCAGTGTTGCCATAGAAACTTGTAGACCAGTAAAATATTCCTCCACCTCTTCTCCAATGAAGGGACAGGAATACAGAGCTTGGTATGGTAATGAGAGCAACCAGGGGATGATGAATGTGAACTGATTGAGGGTGAGGATTAAGTCAGACCTTAACAAGCCCTTAGCAGTAAAGAAAGGCTGCGACTTCCCTAGTTAATGCTAGGCGTATTTAATTCTCTAAGATCTCCCACATTTGTTGACAGGAAAATGCTTCACTGAAACACTGCATTTTTTTTTTTTTTCCTTTTCCTAGGGATTACATTGTCAGACATCTTTTGGATGCTTTCTTAATAATTTTGTACTGGTTTTATGTTTTTAGGGCTTTGGGGGAGGGGAACAAGATTCAAAATAGTATAGACTGTAGCTTCAGATCTCACAAAACTGAAGTTTATGAATCAAATAAAATCAACTAATTTTAATTAATTTTAATGCCTGCACCATTTAATATTTCTACATAAAAACTGCAAATGAGCTATTGTAATTCTCAGTGCCTATCTAGGAATCTCTAATTTAATTCATTTTATGATTGCATATTCAGGCATTTTACTCTGGTCAAGGTCACAGAGTAAAATTTTTTGCATGTTCATAGAATCATAGAATGTCCTTGAGTTGGAACAGACCTTAAAAATCATCCAGTTCCAATCCCCTTCCCCTGCACGAGGGCATCTTCCACTAGACCAGGTTGCTTAGAGCCCCATCCAACCCTGTAACATTTCCAGGGATGGGGCTTTAAAAATTGCTTTAAAAATACAGCATCTCAATCAGTTCAGAACCTTTCAATTTGCTGAAATTTCAGTTAAAAAATGTCAACAAAAAAGTCTGTGTCTTTTCCTCCAACAATTTTTATGGTATTCTGCATATTTTCAAAGATTTCAAAGATACGCCTTCTAACTCATCCCTCAAAAACAAGCCCATCTGTTGAAACATGCTAAGTTTGTCACCCTAAAGGGTATATTTGGGTTTTCACTATTCAAAATGCTAACACCACAGTGCTCAAGTTGAGGTGTTTTTATATACATAGTAAAGTGTAGTTACTACCTCCCCCTGAAGAGCAAAGAAAATGCACTGTATAATCCATACTACCCCAATTTTTCTGTTTCGAAACATTTGCAGCAACTTAAAAAAAAACATATGCTGCTTTTTAGGATGCAGGCTGGACAGACTGAAAGATAAAAAAATGAAACAGTTGAGATAACCTTGGAAGTCAATGAGAGGGAACTCAGAGTTTGGACTTCTAGGCCAATGGTTAGGACTGGAAAAATGCTGCATTAATCACACAGCATGTCCAAAGAAGCTATCAAATAAGAAATAAAGCAAATTGAGTACTTAATATCCCAATAATCAGTGTTTATGAAAACATTGTTTTGATTATATTGTTTATGTTACCTTGCTGTAGCTTGATCATCCACATCAGTCTTTGATTTCTGAGGTGTCACCTGTGCTGATGGAAGGGCAGCCCTGCAACAGGTGAAAACATATTTAAGGCTCAAGAAGATATTTGAAAACATGTTGTATCACTTAAATGGTTTATCATTGTAGATATTATATTTCTTTCAGGTGTAACTACAATGAGTTTGCATTATCTTTAGGAAATTATTTTTTTTGCTGTTTTTATCTTTAAATATATATATATATATATATATGTGTATAAAGAATTATACATATATAAAAAAAGAAATGTAATGCTTTGGTTCACTAGATTACCACATCCACTGAGCCTTTTGAAAAAATAATATCCCTAGACTAGCTATTTTTCTAGTATGGACATAGCAATAAAGTGGACTTTCTTTACTGTTCAAGAACTATTTTAGTAGTATAAAAAACTTGAAAAACTGTTTCTCCTACCTACTATATCTTATTTAGTAAAGACAAAACTTTTATTTAAATTTAACCAGCAAAGTTCTCAATTTTTAAAAGCTAAATAAATACACATTTACTCTTTCCTATTTTTCTTTATTTATGGGAACAATCAAATTGGTCACTACAGGGATACTAAAATTATGAGTAATATAAGAAAAGGAGAAGGCAACAGAGTTGATGAGGGTTACCTGCTTCTTTAGAGAATTTTTCTATTAGTATGACAACAAAACCATGACAAGTTGCATGGCTTTCTTAATTATAAGTCATGAAGTTGCAGGATGGTTAAGTAATCTTTCCTTAATTTAGACCATGTGAAATGGACATTTAATTAATGAATTAATTTAATAAATTTATTTTCTAAAATTAGAGCAACCTTTGCAGACACTCAAGTTTAGAGTACTTTGCATCAATTCATCCTAATGCCTTCTATTACAAGCCTTTGCATGTGCAGAGCTTCTTGATTTAACTGTCTTTTTCTTCACATTGCTTACACACTCTTCAACAATTTCTTTTTCTTTGCATAGCTCACACTGTCTTTCACTGACTTTAGAACAGCAGTTGCATATAAAAGAGTATTTGCATTAGCAACATATATGACTGTGGAACTAAAACTGCAAAACAGTTTTTAATGTTTCATGCAGTTTAATGTTTTTTTCAATTTGAGTAAATATCCATTGAAGTGTTTTAAACTATATGCAAATAATTGCATTTCTGCAGGGAAGGAAGTCTTCATGCACTTCTTCAACATCGACTATAGAGGAAGCCTCGCAGGTAAATTATACAATGTTTGTATTATAAATAAATGTAAAATAATAACCGAGGTTTATGCAAAGGAACGTGTTACATTTCTAAATCTTCTAAGAAGCAAAGTAAAACGTACGTTGTTGGAGCCTCTGAATTTTCTGAAGTGGTTCTAGAGAAAGAAAAGAGTAAACATTTCAGAAAACAAGTAGCAAAACGCTAGTATTGAAACATTTGCAAGATTTAGATCAATCAACAGCAATTACTTTTACTTTCCCTTCCTTCCAAAATAATATATTTTTTTAAATGTAGAATATATGTTTAACTCAAGTAGCATAATACTAAATTTAAACCATAATCTTTATGTCATTAAGACAATCATTCTTCAATTAACATTCTCCAGTTAATCACTTTGATTAATAATGTTTTGTTTTTAGCACACAATCCACAACCATAAAACTCAAATACAGTGAGCTGCTTATAGTCTTAGCTCCAATTGCAATTTCTTTCAAGTGTTCTGTAAAGTGTGTTTAATCAGTGGGAACTGAGGCAAAGAACTCTGGAAGTTTATATATCATGTTTAATTATAAAAGGCTAGAATTACATCTCAGAATCACGAAAGTATATAAATAACCCTGACCAAGAAAACCCACATACCCATGATTGCTGGACTCCCTTCCTGAGGACAGCAGAGCAGTCAGCCATTCTCAGATGTGAAGAAAAGACATAGCTGACATAGCTCTTTGCTCAGTCTTTAAGACTGATAGTGACCTTTAGAAACTGTGCTTACTAGCATCTATGCATGGCACTTTATTTCCTAAAACTCACAGGCAAGTAAAAACCTTGCCTTTGATAACTATTTTTAGTTATTGTAATATTCACAATTTGAAATAGCTTTCACATCTTCAAACCACTTTTAAAAGCTAAACTGAGTAATCATTAAATGCCCATCACTTTTTAAACAGCCGTTCATGATGGCAGCATTGTTACAGGATCCAGGAAGGGTTGTGAAAGCTTCAGAAAGAATATGCCTGTTTTCAGTCTTCTCTGAACTGTGAGACTGGAAGAGTAACTGGATAATTAGTGTTGAGAAGAATACAGGAATTCTGGCTTGCTACTAGAAGCTGGGTGGATGCCATATAGCGCATTAACCCAAGCTTTCAAAATTACCATTAATTTAGAAAGACATTAAAATGAAGCCAGATAAGTTCTTCTCAGTTGGCACATTGAGAACATCTAGTAAGGACCAACTTCAAAGAAAATAAACTTTAACATCTCTAAGCTGCCTTTCTGCCAAGTGGAGAGTGACTTTGAATCTTGGCCAAACAGACAGAGGGTAGTAAACACAGAATAAGATTAAAAATAATTGCTAAACTTGGTTTTAAGTCTTCCAGTGCCAGACATTCCATAAACTCCCTGGGCAATAGTCCACCAAGGCCTCTATCTAACATCACAGTGTAACCATTCATTTCTGTTTCATTTAATTCTCATCATTGCTGCACGTGAGACTCATGTTGGAAGTCTCCCAGATTAAAACTAGAGAAGCAGAAAGCCATGCTGCAGCAAATAGTGGACATAAGCAAAGAGTATCATGAAGGTTTATTTACTAAAATTTTAAACCATCCATATTCTGTTTTTTGATAAAACCACAAGAAATGTTCCCTGTTCTCTTTGTATTCTGCCAGAAAACAAACACAACTTCAGAAATAAAAATCAAACATTCATCTGCAAGTAACTTTAGTCTGACTGTTTGCTCTTGGATACTTTGCTGACAGGGGACTTAGAAGATTTTGAAGTTTTGTTCACAGTGATACACAAAAGAGCCAAGGGTGAGCCTCTGACTGCGAACCCAAATGACACCGACAGATCCCTGCCCTGAGGTCAGTCTCTCTACAGCACATTTACCTTGAGGAGAATTAATTGGAATAGTCCAAAGTGAAACCGTGAAGAAAGAATTGCAAGCATGATAGAAAAATTTTGGGAGCACTTGTTACCTCAGGTTTCCAGCACTTCATATACTCAGGCCCCAGTCAATGCTGGGCATCAAGCTGCCAAGAGTCCAAACAAGTACTTAGGCATGGGATGCTTTCTCTTTGCATGGCATCTTCTGCATCAAACTCAGTCCATCAAAGAACTGCCCTGCTCTCTTGCTCCCAAAATTAGCTCTAGCCAAAAGTTAGGAAATAACCAGCAATCACTGATACGCACCGTTGGCTTTCCACTGTTTCTGTCGGAGTCTTACTACTCGAAACTGGGGGAGGCATCCAAGATTGCCTGTAAATTTTAATAAATATTCTTTTCAGTATTAGTTTAATGCTCTGGTCCTGAACAGAATACTGTGAATGCTGGAATAAAATTGATGTAAAAATACCTAGAACTTTTCTTAAATTACCAGTATTTTTAAAGACTGCATGTTGATACTTTTTAGACCACATTTATAGAAAACTGAATAGAAAAGGAAACAATACAGTATTTTTATTTATTTTGAAAAATGTATTTTGGGACCCTAGGTGGTTTTTTTTGCAATCTGAGTAGTACAAATAAATGGATCATTCATGGAAAGGACAACCAGATATAATGCACAAATAGTATCAAGTGTCAACACAAGAAACACAATCCGGCTTTTAGAGATCACATAAAGAGCACAAGCACTTTCAGTTCCTTTTTTGTTTGTTTTTTTTTTTACCCTCAAAACTATCAATCCAGCAATTGTTTGTGAAGTAAAAACAATTACACCAGAAGCAGTGCAATGCATTGATGGCTTTCCATATCTTCCAAGAGCCTGAAGGGAACTGCTGGACTGAAAACATCATAAACTTCCACCACACAGGTCTGTTGATATAAATTCCATGACATTTTTCTTTCCACATACATTATTCTACTGATCACATTTTTCTGCATTAAATATGAAACAGAAAATCATGAATTAACAGAATTTTTGCTGGGAAGGATGCAGAAAAGTATGGCTATCACCAGCTGTAGCTTTTAAATTAAAATGGATTTAGTTCTACACCCTGTTTTTATTCTTGCTTAGCTATCTGAAATTCAGAGTTTTAAAGGTAGCTGTGTATCATTCAGAAAACTGTGTGATTCATATGCACTGCAACAGCACAGGTCAAGTCTGTCATCAGAGATTTCACAATTACAGTGAGCTACAATGCTTTAAAACACTGGACACTGAAAATGAGTACGCTAGCTGAGCTGGGGGCTGCAGCCAAGTGTTAGCACCCATTGTGCCACCTCCACCTGGTTCACATAACTGGCTCTACAAAGACAAAACTTGCAAATCCCATGGAAAAAGACAAGAGGATCTAAAAGTTTGATTCTTGAAGCTTGTTGAGGAGTTTGAGTGTGCTGGAGGAGAAAGTTGGTAATTTTTTTAATACAATTGTGATACATTACTGAGGCTTAACACAATATACCCCCTGGCAACCAAGCAGTGGTGGTAATGAGTACCTCTTTTTCTTGATTGGAGAAGTGACTGCAGTGTTCGTGGATACTGCGTTAGGAGTCCAAGATTGTCTGTTAGGAAATATGCTTGGTGAGTTAATCTTCAGAAAGAGTATAATTTTAAATTATCTTAAAAAAATATCGTATTTCTGCTATCAGAATGATACAAAAGTGTACGGTAAATGCTGTAACTATGTTTGTATACCACAAAGGACACAAGATGTAAGGGGTTCTGATGTTTAGACAGCTGCATTTTTACTTGATATCCAAAGTCACTTCTGACTTAAAATCTTGACTTCCATACATACACTTTAGTCTCCAAACACTAATAATATCTTTCATTTTCTTACTTTAAATTTTGTTTCTTGTTCAATTAGAATGCTTTGTGTTATGATATGCTTGTAAAACTGACATATATAAAACCAAGGCAGTGATTTCTCATAAAATTTATCATAAGTTATATTCTTATCCTCTGAAATTCTTAATGATAGTAATTGGCAATTCATAATAACAGTAATTGAAGAATAGCACTTTACAAATCATTTTGCTCTCTGGCAGGAAAAAATATATTCAATTTAAATCTCTCTTAAGTCCCATTCAGAATTAATTGTTGGTCTGTTAAAAAACCTTCTCAAAAAAAACCCCATAAAATCCAATTTATATGATGCTTCATATGTCATCATCACCATGATTTACAACATAGTGGTGCAAAATTATAATTTGAAAGAGTGACCTCAGTTGAACTTTAAATGCCAGAGATACTGATTTGCTCTTCAGATTAATAGCTCAATTCTGCACAAGATGACTTTTAATTGCTGTGCTCTCTAGAAACTATGTTCTGTGTAATTTATTACTGACAGAATTCTCCTGACACTGATGAAAGCACAAAGCGATGTATTTGTCCCTTTGCATTTACAAGTATGGTGGCTGAGGTCTTCTGACTTTCCTTTCTTAAATGAAAATTTCAATCAGGGAATAGATGTAAGTTTTTTAGAAAATAATTTTTCAGTGTTGTGGAATTATTTGACATGTAAAGGGTGGCCACCTCTGAATTATAGCAACTTTTAAAAAATGTATCAACAATGTTATGCTAACTTATTTTGAATTAAAACTGTTTAATCAATAGATTGGTCTTCTGACAAAAAAAAAAAAAAGTTTCCACTGCAAAAATCAGCAATGTACAACAGCATTTTCCACTGAAAGCATTAATAGAATTTTTTCATTATCCTTCCTCAGAATTATGTATTATATTTGGTAGATATTATGCCGAGAAATCTAGAGTTCTAGAACATACCCATGTTTTTCAAAATACTCTTATTCTTTCTCTTTTTTTTCTTTTATTTAAAAGAACGTAATTATTAAATAATCATTATGCTGAGTAAATGTGTAATCTGAGCTGGTCTCCCTTTTAAGCTGTGTGGAGAAATTGAAAATTTTCTTTAAGGAGAATTGTTCTTATTTTAATGATTTTTTTTCTTTCTCCTCACCAACAATAAAAAGAGTCTATGATAATTTAAATATAGATGCCTACATTCCAGAGGTCAGGTGGTCAGATGAAGCATACACCAGGCCATATGCCATACAAATAATTTCTCTGCATAATCTTGGTATGTACATGAATTCTAAAGTTATGGTAATATATAACAATGAGATATTAATGCATGATAAATGATACATGATAACTTATAACACATAATACTTAGATGATACCGTTTCTGAAATTCATACCTGTTGTTTTGTTTATGGTTCAGAGTTGGGGACTTACTGATTTTATCAACATCACTTCCAGCTGGAATTCTGTCAGAAACACAGGAATTATTTATAATACACACTCTAATTTTTTTTAGAAATCCATTTTCAATAAAAATATGGAGTATCATTTTGCCCTGTGTACTGATATCTCAGTACCACAAATATCTCAGTATCACAAAAGGTAGATAATAGAAGCTGAAATTACATAAATTTAGTGCATTATTATCTGAAGACTCTAAGTAGCTCACTGAAAAAGAGTTTTTCAAGATGATGTTCAAACAATAACACTGTATTAAACCTCACTGTTGCAAACAATTTATTACAACTCCTTTAAATTAGTTCAAAATACCAGAAAGAAAGCCATGTTCAATCAAGCAGTACATACATTGTCTTTTTCTCTGCCTCACCATTTCTAGAGATTCAACAGTCTTATTTATAGATTTAATAGTTCAATATGATGTGAAAATAATCTAGTGCAAAATCCCTGGCAAAGCATGGGAGTACAGGAATAACTTCTATCAAAGAATTTGGATTCTCTGTGTTTGAACTGATTTCATTGAGCCATGAAATTTACATGAAGAAACAACCACATGATTTTTCAAGCCCTTTGTGGATTCTATAGTTGTTGCCTAAAGCCCTTCAAAATTTTCACAGAAAATACATGAAGCTATCATAACTGAAGCAGATTAGGTTCTTATTTTATTCCAGTTTACTTCTTATATATGGAATATTCTTTAGTAAGAACTGGAGGACTCTGAAAAGATGAAAGTGATATACCTTGAAATAGAGGACAAATACTAGGTTGAGAGGGTTATGAAATACTTGATCTGATTTGATTTGGTCTTAAATATTTGATTAAATCAGATGCCACACATCTTGAGCTACAACTTATATATAATTTTTTAAAAATTATTTATTTATTCTCATCTATTAACTGAAGCTATAGATGCAAAACAACTACTCCTAGAACTATAATCTGATGTTACATACAAAATATTTTGTATCCTGTCTTCAAGCAGCACAGAATATTGCTGTATTTCATGAAAAGCCTTCCAGGGAGTTCTGGACCAGGTGTGCTCTGTGTCTCCTGCAAATCTTGAATGCAGTTTTGCAAAAATACCTCTCCTATCAGGGAAGCTTGTGACTGTGACAGCAGCTACAGTTGCTGGGAAGGTCACTAGAGGTCTCACTAATCCTGCTGCTATTGCTACAGATGCAAACTCGAGCGTTCCCTCTCATTCCTCACTCTCCAGCGAACCAGCATTTCTTTCACATTTCATCGCGTATTTTCAAAATTCCAGCGCAATGCTTTACATTGTTTCGGTTTTTTTCTCATTTTAAAGCCTTAAGGGTTTGATCTGGCATCCTGCTCCATTACTGCCCAATGTAGCAGAAGCTTTTTAAAAAAAAACTGAAAGAAAGGTAAGCATTATGTTAACTTCTCCTTGTATAACTTTCAAGCTTCTGATAAGGAATCAAAGAATAACCTCTGTTCACACCCACAATGCTGTATCCAACAGACATCCCTGGATCAATGGTCCATTTACACATGTATGTTTATCTGAACCAAGGTAAATTTCTGATCTCCACAGTATCTTGTTGTGGTGACTCCTACAATTAATATACACATTAAAGGAAAAATAAATGTTCTTTTTATCTCTTCTCTTCTCTTCTCTTCTCTTCTCTTCTCTTCTCTTCTCTTCTCTTCTCTTCTCTTCTCTTCTCTTCTCTTCCTGCACCTTCCCACACCTTCCCTTTTTCCTTTTCTCTTTTCTTTCCTTTTCTCTTTTCTTTCCTCTTCTTTCTTTCTCCCTCTCTCTCTTGGTGTTTCATTATTTTTTCTCAATTATCCAAACATTTATAGTCTTCACTCTTACAGTGCAACAAACAGAAAATATTCTTTCATTACTCAGTTTCCCCATATCATTCTTTTCCAAGCTGAGGACTGTTTGTCTTTTCAGACATTTTTCATATGAAAGCTATTCCATCCTTTCTCACTT